TGGTGTGTTGCTTTGGAAGGAATCAATCCTCCTCTATGGTGGTGGCTAATGTAACGCCCCGGATAGAACTTTCCATATTCGTAACTCAGAGTCTTGTCATTTCCGGCTATGTGATTTATTATTTCCTCCGTGGTTGGGTTTTTGTCTTTTGTTTTGCATTTTTGTTCGTGTCAGGCATTTCATTTCATCGCATCATCCGCATTGCGTCCGCATGTTTTCATAAAACCTCGTAGCCGTTTGTAGTTACCGCTTCTCTCTTTGTCTTCATTGACCTATTGTCAGACCGCTTGTCCTTGTTGACCTTCTCTCAGACCAATTGGACCCCTCTCTTCTCTCTTTCTCCGAGACCAACAAAACCCCCCTTGTCTTCGTCGACCTCTCTAAGAACCCTCGCATGCGTCCGAAACTTGCCCCGAACCCGAACCGCTCGGTCATGACCAACAGGTCCGGATCATCCCCCAACATTCCCAAAACATCTCCGTTTTCTTAATTGGATGCTCTAGCCTATTTATTCCGGACCGTCTGATTACGATCGGAGGGACCAAATAGTCCCTAGCCAAATCCACCTGCTATATATACACGGGATCCAACCCTAGAAATTAGGCAGCTTGTCCCATCCTCCTCATTCCTCCTAGCCGCCGCCACTCTCTCCCTTGGTTTCAGCGCCGAACCAACCAGCCACCAATGATCCTCTTCCTTGGGATCCATCCCCTCCCAATCCAAAATTCCACAGCCTCCTCTCGTTTTCCCCTAGCCGAGCCTCCGTGCAGCAGCTGCCTCCCCGTGTGGATCTCCTGCATCTTCGTCCCCCAGCCGTGCCCGAGGCAATCGCCTCCTCTGCTTCCCGAGAGCCACCGCAACAACAGTTGCAGGTACAGGTTATGCGATAATCATGACGCGAGAGCGATGCTTGCTTGTTTTGGAGTTCTTCTTCTGCTTCTTCTTCGATCAAGGGATAGGTTCCAGGTCGGCAGCCTGGGTTAGCAGGGTGGATGTCGTTTGAGTTTCTGTTGGTGTTTCATCCGTAGTCGGATGGTGCTCTTATGTAAGATGATGTTGTATTCGTGTGGCATTGTATGCCTTATGTATGTATCCCCATCTATTATGTAATGTTGATGTAATGATATCCACCTTGCAAAAGCGTTTCAATATGCGGTTCTATCCTTGGTGGGACCTTCGAGTCTCTTTAGGATAGTATCGCATATTGGGCGTGACAGCTAAGCCCTATATATAGTGCCTTGGTCCTCCTCCCAAATATGAGTGGGAAGGGATTCCACAACGGCGGGATTTGAAAGGGGACAAGAAGTATAGTCTATCCTAACAAAATAAGTCTTCGCCTGCGAAAAGCCTCTGGCTGTGACGCTGCGGTGGGCTTGGTGCTAACCTCCGTCCTGCCGTCCTGGCAGTCTTGGTCTTGTTGCACCAGAATGGAAACCTTTGGCTGATTCCTCAGGACTCCGCGCCTGTGGCTTCCCTTCCTTGCACCGAAGAGGAAACCTGCGCTCTGCGCCCGCCTGGCCTTGGTCGTCATGGCTCACGTCAGCTGAACCTCATGAGGTAGCTGCATAGGTCTCTCCGCCCCTCAGAAGCCCTCCTTAGGAGGCCAACTCCTTCGGGGGTCTCGGCATCATCCGCCTCGCGAGGCTTGGCCCCTCGCGAGGGTCTTGCTACATCATTGTTGAAGCTGGGCCATACTAGGCCGTTGATGGAGCCACGTGGTGGGCCGCAGGCAGGCAGGACTGGATACCCCCAAGTCTAGGACGCCGACAGAATCAAAATAAGACATTGGTGGTGAGCAGTATGATGATCACTTCCCACAACTCTTTGTGTTCTATTCGTACATATCATCTACGCATAAACCTGTCTCTGATACCACTGTTGGGAAACGTAGCATGCAATTTTAAAAAAATTCCTACGCTCACGCAAGATCTTTCTAGGAGATGCATAGCAATGAGAGGGGGGAGAGTGTGTCCATGTACCCTCGTAGACTGAAAGCGGAAGCGTTTCCTTAAGGCGGTTGATGTAGTCGAATTTCTTCTCGTTTTGACCGATCGAGTACCGAACATACGACACCTCCGAGTTCTGCACACGTTCAGCATGATGACGTCCCTCGAGCTCTTGATCCAGCAGAGGATCGAAGGAGTAGATGAGTTCCATCATCACAACGGTGTGGTGACGGTGATGGTGATGTGATCTGCGTAGGGCTTCGCCTAAGCACCGCGAGAATATGACTGGAGGCGTAAACTGTGGAGGGGGGCAGCGCACACGGCTAAGAGCAATTGGTGTGTGTCATAGCCCCCCCCCATATATAAAGCAGGGAGGGAGAGGAGGCCATCCTAGGCGCGCCCCAAGTGGGAAGGAGTCCCACTTGGACTCCTACTTGGATTCGCCCCACCCCCCTTCCTTTTACCGGAGGGGGAAATGGGGGAAGGAGTGGGAGAGGGAGAAGGAAAGGGGGGTGGCGCCCCCCTTCCCTAGTCCAACTCGGCCTCCTCCCTTGTGGGGGGCACACCAGCCCCTTGTGGGCTGGTTAGCCTCCCTCCTATGGCCCATATCTTCCCTCCCCCCCGGGGGGGTGTCCGGTAACCCCTCCGGTACTCCGGTAGGTACCCAATACACTACGGAACCCTTCCGGTGTCCGAATACTACCTTCCAATATATCAATATTTACCTCTCGACCATTTCGAGACTCCTCGTCATGTCTGTGATCTCATCCGGGACTCCGAACAACCTTCGGTCACCAAAACACATAACTCATATAATACATATCGTCATCGAACGTTAAGCGTGCGGACGTTACGGGTTCGAGAACTATGTAGACATGACCGAGACACCTCTCCTGTCAATAACCAATAGCGAAACCTGGATGCTCATATTGGTTCCCACATATTCTATGAAGATCTTTATCGGTCGAACCGCTATGTCAACATACGTTATTCCCTTTGTCATCGATATGTTACTTGCCCGAGATTCGATTGTCAATATCTTCATACCTAGTTCAATCTCGTTACCGGCAAGTCTCTTTACTCATTCCGTAATACATCATCCCACAACTAACTCATTAGTCACTGCTTTCAAGGCTTCATATGATGTGCATTACCGAGAGGGACCAGAGATACCTCTCCGATACTCGGAGTGACAAATCATAATCTCGATCTATGCCAACCCAACAAACACCTTCGAATGTACCTTTAGAGCATCTTTATAATTACCCGGTTACGTTGTGATGTTTGATAGCACACAAGGCACTCCTCAGGTGTCCGGGAGTTGCATAATCTCATAATCGGATGAATATGTATTTGACATGAAGAAAGCAGTAGCAATAAAACTGAATGATCATTTTGCTATGCTAATGGATGGGTCTTGTCCATCACATCATTCTCCTAATGATGTGATCCCGTCCATCAAATGACAACACATGTCCATGGCTAGGAAACTTAACCATCTTTGATCAACGAGCTAGTGTAGTAGAGGCATACTAGGGACACGGTGTTTTGTCTATGTATTCACACATGTATCGAGTTTCTGGTTAATACAATTCTAGCATGAATAATAGACATTTATCATGATATAAGAAAATATAAAATAACAACTTTATTATTGCCTCTAGGGCATATTTTCTTCAGGTGTGTATGTTGTGATTCTCTTAGTGGTGTCATGTGAACGTTGACTACATGACACTTCACCATATTTGGGCCTAAGTGAATGCATTATGGAGTAGTTATTAGATGATGGGTTGCGAGAGTGACAGAAGCTTAAACCCTAGTTTATACGCTATCCCGTGAGGGACTGATTTGGATCCAAAAGTTTAATGATATGGTTAGATTTATTCTTAATAATTTTCTCGTACTTGCGGATGCTTGCGAGGGGGTTAATCATAAGTAGGAGGTTTGTTCAAGTAAGAACAACATCTAAGCACCGGTCTGTTGAATATATGGTTTGTACATGTCTATTGTATAGTCTGGCCCACCTCCTAGTCTTTGTATAGTTGAGGTTGTGGCCCACTTTGTACTCCATATATACGTGCGCTTTGCACCAATCAATACATCGTGAAGCATTGCCAAAACAATCGTTTCCAACATGGTATCATACCTACGATCCTAACCCTAACCCGTGCCGCCGCCGCCGCCGCGATCCCTAGTGGTTAAAGAACTGGCTATCATTTATGTTAATAGAAGGGGTTAACCACAATGTGTCCCGCACATGACGCTTGTGGAGAAAAGTCAGGGGGAGACGGGGTTAACGAGTAGCGTTGTCTCCCGTCTCTTCTCTGCCACGCGGACTTGCCATCGGTACCCACCAGTCCGGTTTTCACTTAAACCGTTCTAGTGGAGCAATCAATGTTTTTTCAAACTGTCAGTATAATGATGGTGGGTTTTTGAAAAAAAAAATATGATAGTTTTTCATTTAGGTCCATAAATGTGGCCGGTTTTTTTTTTTTTTTTTGCAATTTACTCTAAATCCAAACGCAAATCTGTATGGAATCTTACTCATGTGTTCTTGCTCATCAACCATCTCTTCATCTGGTCTTTGTTCATCCACATTCATGTGTTTACATGTTGGATCCTTTTGAGTTACATTTCTCTTTGTTGGCTTCGTCAGCGGCGGTTGTTATTTTGGTGTTTTACTTCTTTGGAATGTCTAATACAAAAAAGTTTGTTCAGCTCCAGTAAGGAATGAGCGATAATGGCGTCACGTCTTCGGCTCACACCCGTGCTTGTACTGTCATGATGTTTGATTAATATCTCGGAATTTTTTGTTGCAAAAGAAAAAGACTTTGGCGATGCGGGGTACATACAATTGAGATCTCTATACAACTTGGGTAGTGTTCAAAATCAGTTGTCCTCAAACCATGGGAAAATAGTGACTAGTGCAAAGCATTTAACGCAAGGTCTTGAACTGATATACAAAGTAGACATTAACTACTTTTCAGCGGTTCAAAGAAACCGGCATGAACACTCCTAGTTACAACTCATAACGTAGGTTAGCAGGGCAACGTTTCAAGCTGCTTTACGAGAATAGGTTGACTGCGCCTCTTGGTCCGTGCCTGTTACCATCCAATCAAGCTTTGCACCCTAAAGCAAAAGAAATATCAAGTGCATAGTTAAATCGTAGTAGAATCTTCATAGGCCGGACGACCATGCATGACATCAAAGATGTAACAGGACTCAAGTATGAGACGTAGAGGCCTCGTATAAATGACTGAGATACAGCTCAGCACATTTTGGTGTATCCAAATGCTAGCCAAGCATCAATAAAATGCAGGATTTCATGGCTTTCCAGGACTACGCTATGACACACCGGAATATATTCATAGACAGGAGGTTAAGCTTTGAATCGTGGGTCATGGTAGTTCATTAGAATATGCAGTTGCATACCTTTCCCTGGCGAATAATGGTAGGATAACTTCCAGTCATGTCAACGACAGTAGATGGATCAGCAATTCTAGCACCACCATCAACGATGAAATCGAGTCCCTGAAATTTGAAACATTTGAGCATTTCATGCTCTTGAAGCCATCTATTTCACACATACTCTTGTGTTACGAATGACTAGTAACACAGCTACACGTAAAAGCAGCTAACCGATGTTAACTACTCCCTCCGTCCCAAAATGAGTGACTCAACTTTGTACTAACTTTAGTACAAAGTCGAGTCACTTATTTTGGGACGGAAGGAGTATTCTGTATTTGTGTAACTAACCACTTGATGGCAGCCATCACAGTATTGCATGCATTTCGAGGCCCTAGCATACATATCAGAAGAAAAACTAGCTTAATATGCCCTATGTCAGAAACTGAAAGAGTCCTCTGTCCAACAATTTTGTTTAGGTATTCCTTTTTGTTTCACCCCTAGGCCTGAGCAGGTACTATTCACCACTCACTGTACAATCATTTGATTGTAAATTATAATGCATCATAGAGATGGTAACTCAAAATATGACCTGAAAAGTAGCTGACACTCTAGAGAAGGAAACAGACCAGTGCAAAATTTTGCAATGCTTATCCAATTTTTTTTTTGTGAAGTCACTGTAGGCAGATTTCTGGTGCACCAGTAAAAAGAAGGAACATACCAGTGGCTCATAAATATCGGCAATGGTTACTGGGTCAAGTATCCATTCATCCTCTGCCAGATATTTGACACTGTAAATAGAGGGGAAAAGAGGAGAATAACTACAAGTCCTGGCAACAAGATGAATAGTACTTGGAAGGTTTTTCAAATGAGCTCAAGTAAAATATCTCCTTTGTGTAGGAAGACCAAAACAGAGAGGACTCAATATTCTTACTGCTCGTACATGCCAGCACAACACAGAGTACAAATGACTAAAAGACACACCAGAAGCAAGAAATAAATAGAGAAAACTGAAGGTATATGAGCCTACAACCAACCTTGTGCAGATCAACGGTTCTTCCAGATTTTGCAGTATTGCTTGACATATGGGATCATCTGGCATTCGAACACCAACCTGCCTCCTTTTCGCATACCTAGTAGATGACCCATGCTTGATGCATTGCTTGGGCAATTCCTTAGTCGCAGGTAAAATAAAGGTGTACTGCACATGATTAAATAGACATGTTATTTGTGAAGTAAAGATGGTGGTCGATCTTGAAGAGGCAGATATCCTTACAGGTCCCGGTAATATACGCTTGACAGCACGGAAAATGTTAGCTTGCCCTTGGTTGGTACCTAGAGGAAATCCTGTTGTGTAGGTATCAATATCTCGCAACGAGCGGCACAAGATGCTGAGAGGCTGCATTATTCAAAATTGGTATAAGAACACAGTGCATTTGCAAAAACGAAAGTGGGTTGGTTGTTGTGCCTTGCTCCAGAGTAAGCTTCATAAGAAAGGAGGACTTATTGCTCTCTTGCACATCTTGCCTTTGAATTTACAATGCCTTTGATTCTGTATGAGAAAAAAAACAGATAGTACCAATTAGATCTGTGTTGGTTTCCTTCAAGTCTAAGACAGCAAATAAATAAGAATTATTATACTGACCAACCAGATGAATGACTGTACCTGCGGAGGCGCTCAATAGAGTCATTGTTACTCAGATCACAAACGATGGAGTAGCTGTAAAAAGTGGAACTTGTTATTATTTGTATTTTTTTAACTGTGTTATTATTTGTATTCAGCACAGCGCATTGTCCAAAATAAAAATCAGAAAGTTTAAGGACTTGCTTAGATCTCTGAGAACATGAGCAGACACATAGGCAATGAGATGGACATACAAACAAACTGCTGCTCATCAGTAATCCAAAGTCAGCTTCAGTAAAAACTAAGCTGCCTAACAAAACACTTTGTCGATGATATGAGCACAAATACTCAAATGGCTGTTTACACGAATTATCACCCAACCGTGCTTCAATTACACGGTACTCTGCACGCACCGAGCATCAACTGCAACGCGAAATGCAGTGCGCACGGTGCATTTCCTTGCTCCCTAACGAATGGCAAGCCCGGCCGGTCCCGGGATAAGCTGTCAGGTTGTTCCAGAGACGAGCACAAGGTCAAGTGAAGGGAAAGCATTGAATAGCATACACGGTGTCGGTTGGGATGACGCCGACGGCGCCGCTGTTGATGAGGTCGACGACGGGGTCCAGCTTCCAGAAGCCCTCGCCGGAGGGTTCCACCTGCACCCGCAGCATCCCGCCATCCCCTCTCTTTGCGCGCGCGGGCCAACCCAGTCGCCGGAAAAGGATCCGTTACTTTATCTCCAGGAATCCGGAAGTAGAAAACATGCGAGAGCATTGGGGGGTGGGGGAGTACCGTGAACTGGCGCTGGGAGTCGTACTTGAGGCGCTTGGGGTTGCGCTTGTGGAGGGCGACGATGGCGACGGAGACGCGCGGCGAAGGGGTCAGCAGGGAGGGGAGGCGGAGTGGGGAGGGGGAGACGGCGCGGCGAAAGGAGAGGCGCGAGAAGAGGTCGGTGGTGGGGTTGGCGGTGGTCGCCATTGCAGGTATAGCTGGCCAAACGGGCCGGCTCGGCCCGGCACGGCACGGCCCATCCTAATCGTGCCTGGCACGGCCCGGCCCGCCAAGGCACGATTATTATACGGGCCGTGCCGTGCCGGCCCGCGTGCTGCAGCCTGCAGCCCAGGCACGGCCTAGTTAGTAAACGGGCCGGGACGTTGGCCCGTTTAGCACGGTGGGCTGCATAATTTTAGCCTGTTATTTGACACACTGAGCGTTTTTAGCCTATTTTTATATGTTGGGCTATATATATATGTATAAAAAAATAAAAATAAACGTAATCGGGTCGTGCCGTGCCGGCCCGCGTGCCCAGGCACGGCCCAGGGCGTGCCGCGTGCCTGGCCCGGCCCGTTTAGCCCGTGCCGTGCCTGGCCCAAGACGGACCGTGCCGGCGTGCTCACGGGCCGGCCCGAAAAAACCGGCCCATTTGGCCAGCTATAATTGCAGGGGCGGCGAGCTCTTGGCGCCAGGATCCCTGGCCGTCGACTGTTTATTCCGCACGTTATCCCGATTTCATTTTCCCTTTTTCTACGATATAAACTTAGTTTTTTTTCAATGGTCTGTTATATCACACGACCAAGCTTTTGACAACCATCAGATCAGACTAGCAAAAAAAAAAAAGATTAGACCTTTTCTTGCGAATGAGCCATGGGTCTATATTAATCAAACATCAATGTTCCATGAAATCCCATAATGAAAAGATTAAATATAAATATATAGAGAGAGGCTGATGAAAATTGAAATTGAGTGAAAATCTAAAAAATGAAATTAAATTCACGACTGTACTTAGTGCACCCCCGCGTCTCCTTTGCTCCTCTCCGCTCCTCCGCACACCGTAACATGGGCAAGTTCGGCAGGCGGGTCCTCTAGGTCGCCCAGATCATCGCGTCGACGCCGACGCTCATCTGGCTCGTCGGCATCCACCACACCGTCGACACCCACGAGCCACGATCAAGGAGGAGGTGGTGCTCTCCTCCTCCGACAAGGAGCAGCAGCAGGCACACCTCCTTGCCGAGGCCGCACGGATCGACGAAGAGTACACACAACAGATTGAGTTCATGCTCGAGCGCTCGCTCCGCGACAGTGATCCGTGGCCACCGCACGATAGCCACGTCAAGCAGTGGCGGAGCTTGGGCCAAAATTCTGGAGGGGCAATGGGCTGAGGGGGGGCTAAATTATGAGGTCTGGCCTTATTTTCCTATTCTTATGGCCCAAATACCTAGGGGTAGTGAGGGATTTCTTCATGGGCTGGGGGGGCGGTGGCCCAGGTTGCACTCCAAGAAGCTCCGCCACTGACGTCAAGGATGAGTCACCCTTCCCACCGCACCATCACTTCAAGGAGGAGCCAGCATCCTCGCCGCGCCATCGCGTCAAAATGGATTCGAATCTCCACCATGATGGCATGCGGCAAGGAGGTGGCACCGCCATCCCTGCCCCAGTGGCAATGCAGCGAACATGAAGAAGGAGGAGGCACTGCCTACCCCGAGGATTGCCAACGCATGTAGTTGCCTCCTCTACTAACTCGACAGTGGTGGCGGCACCTCCTCCTCGCGCACCAGGATGACAGACGACAAGGTGACCGCCAAGGAGGAGCGTCGGAAGCGGTGCAACGTGGCGTGTTGTTCGGCCTTCTCAAGTCAGACGTGGTACCAGACTGGGTGCACACTAACCCGACCTTTGTGTTGACATGTGCGAAGGATCAGTTCAGGACCACTGAAAAAAATACGAAAAAACTGGAAAAGGGAACAAAATCATGAATTCAAAACTGTTCATGGATTTTGGAAAAAAGTTCACGGATTTCATAAAAAAAAGGTTCAACAATTCTAAGAAAAGTTCATCGAACTTGAAAAAGTTCACCCCTTCTAAAAAAATCATCGATTTTAAAAAATTTCATTGAAATTGAAAAAAGTTCATATAATTTGAAAAAAATTCATTGAGTTTGCAAAAAGTCAAATTCAAAAAAAAAGTTCATCGATTTAGAAAAAAAATCACGTATTTGCAAACAATTCATTGGGCCTGAAAAAGAAGAACAAGCAAAAAACAAAAAAGGAAAATAGAACGAATAAAAGACAAATAGGTTAAAAGGTTAGCGCATACGTGGTGGTTGGCGGGGTGGTTACACCAGTCGACCTTCAACAAGGAGGTCGCAGGTTTGAATCCTTCACAACCTTCTCTTTTTTTGATTTTAACAAAAAAAGGAGGGAATCAAATGGGTCGAGCGCAACTAGCACGTGTATAGGTGCCCGTTTGCAGAAACAATAAGAACGAGCGCATACAGCGTTAAATAGGAATATGTTAGTAGTAGCAAGAAGCCTCAAACGCGGGAAGGAAGCGAAGCAAGTTCAAAGGGGCGGCCCACTCGCAAGCCTCGACTACCCGCTCGGCTTGCAGACCCAGAATGGGCCTTGGGCCTTGTAAACATTTAAATACCCAATTGTAGTTGTAGCAAGGATAGGTAGGCACGACAACAGCTAGAGGATAGGGTCGCTGTGAGCATCGTCCACCTCCCATTCTCCTCTGGAATTACCCCCTTCGGGTAGCTCGGATTTGAAATTCATGGTGAAACAAAGAGAGGGCCTCACAATCTGGCATCAGAGTCGTTCGATCCGACGGTCGTGTCGGTCCACCAGCGCCATACCCGCTTCGCCGACAAGTTGAGGGTCGCCACCCTGGACTAGGATCTTGCCGGAGATGAAGGCCATCTATGATCTTCTCTAAGCCGCCTTCGACCAGGCCAACCGTTACCGCATCGACTCCACGGCGCAGGTCATCGCTCAGCTCGACGCCAAGCTCGACTTGCTTTCGGCCCGGATCGACGAAGTCACGGTGTCGATCAGCGTCGACATCGATGAGCTGCGGCATGGGCTTGACCGGTCCGCGACAAATTCGTCAGACCCCTCCAAGAGCGCGTCGGCCATGCCATCACGAGCGCCGAGCAGTTGCCCAACAGGCCCTGATGGGCACCGCGTCGACAACGAAAATCAGGGGTATGGGCATAGGATCTATGTTCCACCTCTGGTCAAAGGTATGCAGTTCGATCAATCCCTACAGAGAACCCCATTCAATTCGATCGAAAAATTTTGACAAAATTCTTCTGATGTATATGGGATTGGTCCTCGCAACGAGCTTCCTCGTTTCGATGGCACCAATCCAAAACTCTGATAGACGCATAGTGAAGATTACTTCATGTTCTAGGGTACGCCATCGTTCGGGTGGATTTCTCTAGCCACATCTCTATTTGAGGGTCCAGCAGCTCGGTGGCTTGAGTCAATGCGCCATTGGGTACCAAATGTGACATGGGATGAATTCTACAAGCTACTCTAGTCTAGGTTTGGTCGCATCTGCACTAGTGAATTTTGAGGAAATTCTTCAGTATTCAACAAACTAGCACAATGGAATACGTGGATCGCTTCTCCGAGTTATTTGATCAGCTAGCAACATGTGAGCATTATCCCAACACAGTTCACTATGCCATTCATTTCATGGAGGACCTGAAACCTGCAGTTAGGATTGTTGTACGAATTCAGCAACCAGTTGATCTTGACTCCGCTTATCAACTTGCCCTGCTACATGAGGAACCGGACACAGGCATGATTGCAAGCAATTCCATAGGTGCACCATCTCTTCACTCCACGGTTGTACCCCTTCCCCTGCCTCCTACCTCGACCACGGTCAGCACCATGGTTCAACTCCATGTGGTACAAGAGATGGTTTAATTTTCTCCAGCAAACTGAACTATCTGATACTAATGACAACACATCCCAACATTCAGTGCATATGATCACCCTGTCGGCTATAGCTATGGGAGATAACAGAGATTCTGCAGTTAAAACCATGTAGTTAAGAATTCAGATGCATGGATTAAACATGTTATTTCTAGTTGATTCTGGGAGTTCCCACTCCTTCGTGGATGCTGCATTTTCTGACAAACTACAAGGCCTCACTCCGATGTCCCAAGTGTTGGTTAAAATTGCCAATGGAGACACAATTCCTTGCAACAAACAGATTTTGGACTGCTATTGGTCCTGTGTTGGGCACAAATTCATGAATTCTTCCAAGGTTTTTCCTCTGGGCAGCTATGATGGCATCCTTGGCTGGTTTTCATCATACAGTCCAATGCTAGTAGACTGGAGAAACCATTGGATGTCATTTACTTATCAAGGAACTGAAATTACCCTACTAGGCACAACAACAGTAACACCAATAGTTGTAGTGTTGAAAGTGTGTGCTCTTTTCTTTACTGAAAACAGTCCCATCCTGCCTGAAGTTCAGTTGGTTTTGAATGATTTTCAACACCTGTTTGAGACGCCAACCAGCATACCTTCTCGTAGAGCCTATGACCGCACCATTCCGTTAATCCCTGGTGCCAATCCAGTTCCTATGAGATCGTATCGTTTGGATCCTACACTAAAAACTGAGTTGGAACATCAGATACAAGAAATGCTTTCTAATGGAGTTATCAGACCTAGCAACAGTCCATTTTCTTCTCCTCTTCTCATGATCAAGAAGAAGGATGAAACTTGGAGGCTAGTGATGGATTATAGGCACTTAAATGCAATGACTCAGAAGGGTAAAATTCCTATACCTGTTATTGATAAACTGCTAGAAGAACTGGTCGGTGCTAGTTGGTTCAGTAAATTGGATCTTCGATCTGGCTATCATCAAATTCGTTTGCCCTCAAGTGAGGAGTACAAGACTGCCTTCGAGACAAACTTAGGGACTATGAATTTCTGGTGTTCTCCTTTGTAATAATTGGTGCACCCAACACTTTCTAGTTTGCTATGAACCACACTCTCTCCCCTGGTCTGCGGAAGTATGTGGTGGTTTTCTTCGATGACATCTTGGTGTGTAGTTTCACACTTGACCACTTAGTACACCTAAGGCAGGTATTACATCTCTTGTCTGAACATCAGTGGCGAATGAAACTTTCCAAGTGTGCTTTTGCACATAGGCAGGTGGGCTACCTGGGTCATGTGATCAGTGGATCTGGAGTAGCCACGGATCCCAGCAAAATATCAGCTATTGAATCTTGGCCAACCCCTACTAATGTCAACCAGGTGCGTGGATTTTTGGTTTGGCAAGGTACTACAAAAAATTATTCGCAACTATGGTATCATATGTCATTCCTTGACTACTCTTCTGAAGAGTTCTTGACGAGATTCGCTGGCATTACTATGAGGAAACTGTTATGATACTGAACCTCATGCCAAAGGGGTGGTGTTCGGTTGGTTTTGGGTGGAATAGCAAGCTTTCCATGCTCTAAAGAAAGCTCTTCCTGATTTGGGCATTTGTCATTCCTTGACTACTCTTGTTACAGCCCCAGTTTTAGCTCTTCCTGATTTCACAAAAACATGTGTGATTGAGACAGACGCGTGTGATGTGGGCATTGGAGTTTTCCTGTCCCAAGATGGCCACCCTAGTGCTTATTTTTTTACAATACAC